ACAAAACAAGATTCAACAAGTTAAAACAAAAACTAATTTGCAAAAAGTTTGTGACATTTTGCTTTTAAAGCAGCTTCGTATCAGAGTTGTAATATAAATGTACTATTCTGGTTAGAATGTAGTAGAGTTGCCAGTAAAACTTTGGTTGTAATTGAGATTAGGGTTCTATAGTTGAAACGAAAAGTCGACTTTTCGACTTTTTTCATTTAGTTTAAAGTCGACTTTTCGACTTTTTGCATTTTATGAAAAGTCGATTTTTCGACTTTTCGACTTTTTTCATTTAAATAAAAGTCGACTTTTAGACTTTTCGACTATAAGTATTTTATAAATAGTCGACTTTTCGACTTTTTCCGACTTTTTTCGACTTTTTTCGACTTTTCGACTTTTTTCGACTTTTTCCGACTTTTTTCGACTTTTTGACTATTTTCGACTTCTTTCTACTTTTTTCCGACTATTTTTTGACTTTTTACGAGTTTTTCCGACTATTTTAGAGTTTTTGACTTTTTTCCACTTTTTTAAAATTTTTGACTTGTTTCTACAATTTTCGATTTTTCGACTTTTTCCGACTTTTCTACTTTTTTCGACTTTTAACGACTTTTTTCGACGTTCTTCGACTTTTTTCGACTTCATTCTACTTTTTTCGACTTATCGACTTTTTTCGACATGGCAAACCTTAAATACCCTTCATCTGTAAATAAATTTTTTAAAGACGTCGAACATTTTTAATACTTGACATGTTATAAATGTTAAAATCTAAAATTTTGTTTCCGTAATGAAGTATTTAAATTAATCTAAATCCGGTAACTCTTAAAAAATTTCTTCATTTTTCTTTTCCTTGCCAAACGTAAACAAAAGCCATGTTGCATTTTTTGTAATTGAAAAAAAAGCTTTCTGTCACTCCCCTTATTTACAACCCAGCGTCAAACAAAATTTCGTTTGTCATTCTTGTCGTCTGTGAAAACAACAGCCGCAAATTTTCATTTTTTTAGCAAAATCATTGCAAATATTGAAAACAAATAATAAAAAAAGTAAAATGAATTTTCTAGGTATTGAACAATTTCCCGATTATAAAGTACCCGGTGCCCAGCATCAAGATTTCTCTCCTTATGAATCCAATGGAGGGTAAGTTGAAAAAAAAAAGCAAGAAATGAGGTTAAAAGGGTTTGCTATATACAAATTCTTTCTTTATTTCAGTTCCATTGTGGCCATAGCTGGTGATGACTATGTGGTTATTGCGGCCGATACCCGTCTCAGCAGTGGCTATTCCATACACACCCGCAAACAAAACAAACTTTTCCAATTGAGTCCCAAAACAGTTTTGGGTTCTACCGGCTGCTGGTGTGATACCTTAGCTTTGACTGCTTTAGTTAAGGCCCGCATGCAAATGTACGAGCATACCCACTTGAAAACCATGTCCACAGATGCTGTTGCCCAAATGTTGTCCATTCTAATGTACAACAAACGTTTCTTCCCCTATTATGTTTCAAATGTTCTGGCCGGTTTGGATAATGAGGGTAAGGGTGTTGTTTACTCTTACGATCCCATTGGTCATTGCGAAAGAACCACCTATAGAGCTGGCGGTTCGGCTGGTGCCTTGTTGCAACCAGTTTTGGATAATCAAATTGGTTTTAAGAACATGAAATTGGAGGGAGGTGTCGTACCCAAGGTGCCTAAGGAACGTGCTGTCGCCATTGCCACCGATACCTTTATTTCGGCTGCGGAACGTGATATTTATACCGGTGATGCTGTTATGATTAATATTATAACCAAGGATGGCATTGAAGTTAAGGAAGTTCAATTGAGAAAGGATTAAGAAGTGTGGTTTACATTTAATAATTAATAAAATACTACTTTAATGTTTATTTCCGAGAGAAAATAATTTTGAAATGGGTTTATTTAATAAACGTAAAAGATTTTTTGTAATTATTGATGTTTTGCATTCGTGTTTGTGTAAAAAGATTACAGAGTAGTCTATAGACTAGACTGCAGTCTATGTACTAGATTGTAGACTACACTTTAGAGTAGGCTAAATACTAGATTAAGAACTAGACTAGGTCGTACGTCAAATGTATCCCGTCAAAGACTTCAAATGTATAGGGGCAAAAAAAGGACTAAAAACTGGTAAATTTGTTAAGCACACATCTCCTAAACAACAAAAGACAAACAAAAATTTTAAATTTATGTCTGATACTGAACCTAGAACTACGATTATGCAAATTTTTGGAATAAAATTATTATGAATTTAATGAGTTTTTTAAAATATTGAACCTAGAAGCATGAAATTAAGATAAGGGAATGGAAATCTGTAGGAAAGGATTTTTTGGTACTTTGTTCGTCTGGTACCTTTAGAGTTTTCTATAATATTGTATCGTGAACCATGACAATAATCATGCACATTCTTGTTTAAAGGTGAACTCTTTGGTACTTTTTCATTATTCAAGTGGCAGGTTTGGATTTTTCTGCAATATTGAAACTAGAAACATATAATAGGATTTTACCTAGAAACATTAGACAAATATTAACCAGATAAACTGAAAATCTATAAGGAACTCTCGGGTACTTCTTACGTTCTTCAACTGGTTTACAATCACTTTCTGGGTCGATTATGCTATCCATGTAAACCTTGTGCGAACGCTACAGGTGGAAATTTTCAAGATAACTTTATGAAATTTAGCACATACTCTTCTTTTGACCCATGGACGAAGCCTATTGAAAATGTATGAAATCGGTACGACCGAATAGGGCTTTTGAGCTTATAATTATGTTAAATGTTGTACAATGTCTACAGAAATCAGCAAATCTTAGTTTTATATACGTTTAAATGATACTGCCGATATTCGAAATGATAGGGCCTCATTTGACTATAGCTCCCATATAAAGTCCCCTTCAGAAAACGACTTGAAGGTGGAAATTCTCTTTTTAACACTAGTATCACTTTGAAAATCTACATAAATAACTTTAATATCATCGTAAATGGCTCTACTAAAATTTATACGAATAGCACCATATTTACCTTTGTCCCCATATAACACCCCTTTTTCAGAAAATCTCTGTTTTTGGTAACATATTGTTAAAATATTTCAGAATTAAGGAAAAATGCTTTATTATTAGAAAAATAATCCACATTTTTAACATACATACTCACTGGTGTAGGGTATGGTCCTACTTGTTTACAATTTACAATAGTTCTTTTTGAATCCTTACTTTAGGTCTAAGATCTACGAAAGCTAAATGTTTTGGAAACTATGTATAGTATCTCGTAAAATTTATTAACGGAAAAAGAAATGGAACTAATATACATTGGGTATAACTCTCCAATTTTGACAAAAATTTTACCACTTATAGGACTTTTAATTCTATAATTTATGATATATGTCTTTTGGTCAACAAATGTATAGTTATGGAGTTATAGACCTTCGAAGCTAAATATATATATTATCAATATCATCTCTATTTAAGAACCCATCCGGACAATATATGTATCATTAGAAAGAGCTCTGAAATACCTTTTCAACGATATATAATATGATCCTTTTTATTAACCCTTTGAGGACCAATTCCAAAAAAAGTATTTTTTATATAGAGTTTTTTGGGTAAGAACCTCACCTTTCTTGGTATGAAGGTTGTGGTTGTGATATAATGTGCCCAGTGGGCCACTTTTGGTAAGCAGAACTGGCGCTGTGGGATGAACCAAACGTAATGTTACGGTGCCCAAATTAACGATCCGTATGGAAGTTGGTGAGAAAATCGACCAGTTTCGATTGATTGCGTAGCAGGATGTCAAGTATGGGCTTGGGTTTGTTTTTGATTGGCCACAAACACTTTAAAGACATGGAAGGCCTCAAATTGTATGTTACGGGATTTCTCTTTGAGCATGTTCATCATTAACTTGAGATTTTCCGGTTCCGAAATGTACCGTGTCATGACGGTAAAATTATGACGATCCAATAGCAGTTCACCCAATAGCTTAAGGGACTGGCGTCTGGTAACATAGTTCTCCGAATTCAAAAGAATTCAAAAAAACGCGCGTTTTTTTTTTTCAAATAATTTTTCACTTTTTTAAATAATTTAAGAATTTTTTTGTCACAGTCTCTCTTTACTATTTTTAAACTTAAATATTATTCCCATTTATTAAGATATTAGCACATATCTATACATCAAAAGAAAGCTTGAAATCTTTTCTACAATTTTCTCGATATTTATCGGTACCATTATATCGATGGATTTATGAAATAACGGCACTTTCATCAAAAAACTCTATATAAAAAACACTTTTTGTGGAATTTGTTCTCAAAGGGTTAATAAATGCGGTCATATTATATATTTTTGGTATAAGGTATTTCAAAGCTCTTTCTAACGATATATATATTGTCAGGATCGGTTCATAATTATAATCTTTAAATCCGTCATAAGAGGTCTTAGTGTTGGACAGTATTAAATTCATACATAGTATGTAAATAATTGCACTTATTATTTATTTAATGAATGAAATAGCTTTTTGCTTTTGTAAATAAACTTCATTTATATATCTTAGTTAGTTATTTTTTTGTATCTTATTTCATTGATAAATATTTAAAAAAAAAAAAAGTATTTAGATTTCGTATTTCTTAAATAGTATAAACAAATGCAAAATAAAACCGAAATGATAACAAAAGAGAGTTTAAAAGATAACAACTACAACTTTGTAGTGTAGTGTAGTGGACAAAAATGATGACTAATAAAAAACACACTGTTTTTTAATGATTAAAAAGAAATAATTGTACTATGAATTTGTTAAAATTAATTTATTGCAAATTGAAATATTAAGTATGCATTTTTTTTTTTAGTAGGTCAGTTTATTTTAGGCACTATGACAAATTAACGAATTCCTTAGAAACTCTCATAAATTTTAAGGGAAATTATAAAGAAATTTTAAACAAATAACACGTACGTTTAATATTTTCGGATGACAAATTAATGTTAATAAAAAAGTAAATAAAAGAGTATGTATGTGCATAAAA